ACATCTGAGTTCTCTGCCATTTGTCATGTGCATCGCACGTGTCGCAGTCAAAAGGAATAAATTCGCACGATTGATGGTTCACTTTTTTTTTTTAAATTTCGCAAATTGCAAATCAATCAAATTTCGCGAATTGTCTGAATAATATTTATAAAATAAAAATGTATCAAATTACAATTCAATATCAAGTGCTTTCAAACATACATTTTTGATGGTGAATATGAGACAACTAAAAACGGATCAATTCAGATTAATGTTCATTGATTGATGCTTATGTGCCAAATAATTTTATAAAAACCTGAATCATTCCTATTTTCACAATGGAATCATAAGTGTTTCTTTGCGATTCGATTGAGCTTGTGAATCAGGACCAATAAAATTAAAACCAGGACACACCCAAATCTTTATAATCTCGATCTAAAAATAGAATATGGGAAATTACTTTCCGCCCGGAAATTCAAAGAGTTTGGAGGGGAAGAAGGACGGGCCGTAATCTAGCAAGCGGACTTGACTTTTGCCCGACTCCGGGCTCGCCCTAGTCGGGAACAGAGAATGCATTAAAATGATAAATGAGTGCGATTATTTCCCTATTACCATCAAATTAATACAGCTCCTCTGTTTAGCGCCACTTGGTGGCGGCGCTTGGTGGCTCTGTTACCTGTGCCGCACCCTACTGAGGCGACGACCAAGCGATTTATTGGCTAAAAATGAATTACCAAGCACAAAAAAGGGGCCAAATCAAACACAATCAAGCGAATTGGGTTCAGCTCTAGTTCCAGTTCAGGTTACAGTCATTCCTTCGGGGATGGCCTGTATTGTTGGTTAAAAATAATCAGACCGTTTCGTGTGCCCCCCAAGGACACCATCCACCCACACCACCGACAACTGGTTCCTGGGGGTAAACATCGTTTGTCAAGGACTGGACACTCCAGTTGCACTTCGCCTCCAGGTGGGGGTGTGGATCCTTTGACCAGGGACCCGCGTGTATAGCGGCCGTGCGATAAAATAGCCGGTTACAAAATATTTGTTGACATTCCGCGGGTAAATTACCATAATTAGTTGATTCGAGACCGACCCCATGTTTGATCTGCTGGGGTGTGTGTGTCTGTATGGTGTGTGGTGTGTCTCCCATGTCCCTTCTCCAGTAAGTCAGTCAGCCAGTCAACATAATGCCAAAACCGGGCCACTGCCACTGCCCACAGCTAAAAGGATAATAATTAGAGCATATGTACGGATTGAGTGCAAATATTGACTAGAGCTCTCCTTCGTTGGCCTCCATTTGTCATCATTCCGTGTCGTTCTGGTGCGTAAACCCAAATTAATCAGTTTGGTATCAATATCCGTGCAAACATTGCTTCACATAAAACATATGTATGCATATAGAGCATACAATATGTCGGAATTGGATACACTAAAAGGATTTGAGAGGGGTTGAACTATTGTGGTCAGAGGCTATGGAACATTGGAAACTAAATATAAGTGAGTGACCCCGACATTCTATTCAACCAATATTTAACAACAGCTTGATTTCGTCTGGTGGTTAGCATTTGACCAACTGTTTCTCGAGCCTATTTTGGTTTCATCCTACTCCTACTGCTGTATAGTCCTAGATACTGGTGAAGCACTACTAAATAGTGAAGATCTAAGCATCGATCGAGGGCAAGCAAGCGAGGGCTTTGTAACCCCATACGAGGAGATATTCTGACAAAACATCTGCAGAAGGACAAAAAAAAGTCGATTTTATTAGACGGAAAACTGTCTTCCTTCGTTCTTAAATGGCGGATAACTAGAGTAACAGTTTTTCAACAGATGGACAGATCTCTTAGACAGAAAAGCATTCATCTTATACGAGCATACGCTTATAAATATGTATATAAAGAAAAGTTATTCCATTTTCGTCGGAATGCTTCGCATAGTCATGGCCTCACAGATACATTTATAGAAAGTATATAGAGAGTATATTTTACGCCTAACCAAAAATCACTATTTTAGAGCTCTTTAGGGCCCAAGGCCCAGAGAAGTTTATTTCGGTATGACAATGACAAAGTCATTAGTTGAAACTCTGTTCTTCCTTCTGTTTCTATAGACAGCAATAAAAGCCATGTTGACAGAGAACAGAGATGAACCAATGGACCGCAAATTAATCCCAATTCCCTCTGTTTCGAGCCGCAACCACAATTAATATGCGAAACCACCGCCCCACGCCCATATCATATCCGGAGAGAACGGAATAGAGAGAGAGGCAAAGAGATTAGGACAGTCAAATGACTTTAAATTAAGCCGATGTGCGTCTGTCGATTTAATTAAAATCAAAACCAAATCTTTGCCGCTGCCCCGCCCCTTTGTCCAACCCAAATAGACAAATAATAAAACCATAAATAATGCAAAACAATAAATGAGCAAATATTCATAAATTATTAACGCCCCTGCTCGAGACGAGTCGAGTCGAGTCGAGACTACTGAAGGGGCGACTGCGACTCCTGACAAAAGACTGCACAAATACCCAAAATATTTTGCCAAAGCATTTAGAAGGACAATGAGGCACGAACGAGCCCCGCACAGCCCCGGAACCGAAGGCCAGATGACAAGAATGGTGGAAGAATAGCAAATCCCCGCAACAAATAATTGAGCCTCATAAAGGAAATATCATTCATTGATTTTCCTCTTCCGACCTCAACAGACTCTCGACCTCTCACTCGCTCTCACACTCTCTCCCTCTTTCGGCTTTGTTGGGTCGTCCTCTGGCAGCAGAAGCAGCAAGTGGATGAAGTCCTATTCCTTTGCCAAGGGTAAAATGGGGTGCCAAGCGCTTGTTGGGGGCAGGGGTGTGGATGTGCCGCCAGGGGGAGGCTGTCAGCACAGAAACAATATGGACAGCTGACGAAACTACTATCACGCCCAGGCGCTGGCCACGCTTTATGGGGAAGATGTTCACATGAATTCGAAATCTATGCCCCGGCATGATTTGCAAAAAAGTGAACTGCGCCCAGACAGAGCATAGGGAGTAGGCTGGATTTTGTTGGACAGTGGAGACCACAAAAAGCACAAATGATAAATTATGAAGGGATTTCTGTTAATTTGATGACATTCATAATGGGCCAAGACCAGATTATCCCAACTGCTCAGCGCTGAGGTTAAGAAATTGAATTCGAAAGATTGTTGCTGGTTTATTCCGTTCAAAAATATAATGGAAAGTGGATATCCCAAGGAAGATAAGGAAGAAGTACAAGGGAATTATTTTGACAAAATAAGGAAGTTCCCTGGGACAACATATCACAGCATCAAAAAATTGACTTTATTTAGGTATTCTCTGACATACAAATATTTTCAGCTACTAATAATTGAATAACAATTTTTAAATCAAGCGCCAAAGTGATATAAAATTGAGCTATCCACATATTACATTTTTTAGTATCACAGCAACTAGCTTTTGCAAGGGCCCTCTTAAATACGTAGAGTTTTCTAGTTTTTCAATACCTCAAAATGTACTTCCCTGCATGTCTTACATCCTGCATTCTACTGTGTTGTCACTCATTCACTTTCAAAATTGGACTTTGGCGCGCAGCTCTAGCGACTATCCGATATTTTGGTAGCTCTATATTATTATTATTATTACGTTTTATTACGTGCACTCTTACGTTTTAACATTAATACTACGTAAAGAATACTTTTTTGTTGACCCTTTTTTTAAACCTTGTTTTAGACATAGTACAATAAAAGGGCTCGTTAAAATTAGCCAGTCAATAAGAAAATCGATTCACTAATCGTATAAAATTATGTGGGCATAGATAAAGGCCCGGTTGACAACATTTAAATCCTTGTCGCTCACATTCAAAAAAGTTCGATTTGGCGCGCACCATTCGGTATATTTTTCAAATGAGACCGTATATTCTGTAGAAACTGGTTTTCGCCGCGCTCCCATGAGGTGTTTTTTAGTGCTAAATGGTATTTTTGTCATCTATGAATTTAATTTTCCAATGTTATATAAAAATCCAATAAAAGCAAGTATTTCGAATAGGCCAATCATGTATAGAATTGATTCATCAATCGTATAAAATTGAGTGGGCATGGCTAAATGTTCCATATAGATAGTATTATTCAACGGAACAAAGAATATGAGGAATTGGTCGTTTTTTTGAATCGAATTTGAATTCGCCGCAGTTCGCTTGAGCAGCAATGAGTCAAATTCCATACACAATGTTGCTGCAACATTTACTTGAAAACCGTATTTTAGTCAAAATAAAATACATTAAGGTAATTAAAAGAAGCAATCTTGTAGAAAATGAATTTATCTATGGGATAGAGCTAAGTGGGCATCTATAGCTTGAAATATAGGCAAAACCCGATTCGCCGCAGTTTAGCTTTTGCAACAATGAGTCTCATTCCATACACAAACATGTTGCTAATTCCATGCACACATACCCTGGGGGAAATGGATGTTATAGAGTTGTGAATACGTTTGTCATCGCAGGCTCCGTAGGTATCAGGATCGAGATAAATATATACAAGATACTAAAAATGTACTTGAATATGTCTAAAGAATATCAATTTGAGAAAAGGTCTTAATAAATTACGTTTGATCTTCATATAAAATTACGAAATAGGGTGCACAAAGACCTATACACGCATCATGTCTTCAAATACTAGCAACATTGCCACTGTTTTTTTGGTTTAACTTGTTTGTTTAATCCTTGTTTTTGTCAAAATACAATAAAAGCAAGTACTAAAAACCAGCCAATCTTAAAGAAAATTGATTCATCAATGGGCTTAAATTATGTGGGCATGGCTAAGAGTTCTATTTAGCTGGAAATATTCGACGGAATATTAAAAACGAGGAATATGTAAAATATAACTTGAATTCGTCAGTATATTTATGGTATATTTTGAAAATTAGGCGGTATGTTTCGGTATATTTCTGAGGGTCGGACGGTATCCCGCGGTCACACTGTAGCATCAAAAACAACACAAAAAAAAAAAAAAAAAAAGTAACAAATGCCTAAAACGTAAGAATTTACACCATATTTGAGGAAATATGAGTGCCTACAATCGGAAGATGTTGAAAAAGAAGGACCCCAACTTGGGGGCATCGTCCGATGCCGAGATGGACGAGTCCGGCTACATGTCCTTTCGAGTGCAGCACAACTCAACCGCGGAGGCGCCATTTTTGTTGGAGCGCGACTGCGAAAGCGAGAATAGTCGCAACAACAATGCAACAAATTCAACTCTCCACAGGGGCTTTGCCTCGTCGCTGTACCAAACGCCCAGCAGCCATCCGAGAGATCAACTCTGGACCAAGAACTACCCGCTGACGGTCCCCGCCAGCAACAGCTTCAATAGCTTCGACGAGCCTTATGGGACGCCGAACCTGCAGGAAGTTCAGAGCATTCCAAAGCGCCGTAAGAAGCACTTTCTGGCCCCTCACAGCAGCCCAAAGAAGTCAAAGAAGCTACTGTTTCCACAACCGAACGAGCCACTGAACAGGAGACGCTACTTCGATGGTTTGGAACATTGCGACATCTTCAGTATGCTGAGCCAAACCCAGCCGGCCCTGGAGTGCATATTGAGGCATGTGAATGCCCAAACGCTGGACGTAATGACCAAAGTATCGAAAAGCTGGGAGCAGACTGTCTACAAAAGCCAGCGGTCCGTGGAGCGTCTGCACAATCATCGCCTCAAGATGAGCCTCACCAAAGAGAATCCCTATCTGCCCAAGAGGAGACACAATGTGTTCAAAACCAACTCAACAGTGCCATTACAAACTTCGAATAGTATCAACAACGCCAACAACACCTCATCCCTCTTCGATACAGCCCACAACAGTCTTCAACTGATGGAGGCAGACGCCGGCCGGGTATTGAAGGAGCAAACCCAACGAATCAAGTGTCCCCGCTGCGGCAAGAGCAGCCGTGTCTTCGTCAGCGAGGCTTCGCGGGACCGAAGCGAGGGAAGCCTGCTGCTGTCGCAAACACTGCCACCGATTAAAAATTCATTTGCCATCAGCGCGAGGCCACCCATGTCACGCTTCCTGTCGCTGGATCTCGACGAGATCAAGGTCTCGCAGCCGACCTACAATTTTGCCGAATGTACCAGTGTCATCTGCAAGTTCCGCTTCTGCATCAACTGCCTGTGCAAGTCTCATCCGGGCGAGCGATGCCTGGTCACCGAGCTGGGAACACCCTCGAAGTTAATGATGCCCAGCGAAAGGCTGACGCCACCGCAGCGCAACCAGAGGCAAGACTACAAGCTCAAGAAAAAAAACTCACTGAAGCGCTTGTGCTTTTAATTCCATAGTTTTAATTAATTGTAGCTTGTAGTATCTTGAAAACGTTTGCCTAAGTTCTTTTTACGTTTTTACGTTTAGTATTTGAGTGAGTTCGTATTATGTTTACTTTACTTTGCGTTTAGTTCAGTTTTTACCTGTTTGTCATCCATCACCCATGCATAACGAAATTCCCATTAAGACTTACATTTTTAAACTGTTCTCGCTTCAAGACTCCTGAACAATCTGTACCTCTGTGAGATTAAGCACACATACAAAAGTATTTTTTACATTTTCAAAATATAAGAACTATACAAAAATGATTCAGGTTGTGTTGTGTCTTCTGGGAAGGCTGTACTAAGGATATTCCATTTGTTTTTCTATGTCAAATGAAAGGCCACAGGTTTCGCGCCTATTGGAAGAACACGATAATCGTTAAATTTACCCTATCTAGGTCAGACACCTTGCAACTTCTTGGAGATGGCACCTGCTGATCGAATATATCTGTTGTTACGAGACAAATATATCTGTATGAATGAACTCACCTTGTTGTGGTAATCCATCCAGGTAGAAATGCGATTAAAATCAAAAAATCAAAAATACAAGCATAAAACCATAAATACACTACAATATTTTATCATAGATGCGCAACATTCGCAGGGAAATGGATGTTATAGAACGAAATATCGAAAAATATTAACAAGACCCTAATCATATACATTAATATGTCTAAAACATAACAATCTGAGATAATTTCTTAACTAATTACGTTTTAAAACAGTTTTATATTAACCAAATAGGGTATACCTATGCCCAAACTCCGCTTGACGTGACATTCCATACTCACTTACGTTACCATTGTTTTTTGTTGATCTTTTTGCTTAAATCTTGTTTTATACACTATAGAATAAAAGAGAGTACTTAAAAGTAGCCAATCAGGTAGAAAATTTATTCATCAATGGGATAAAACTATGTGGGCATTGCTGAGAGATTTAGTTAGTCAGCATTATTCAATGGAATATCAAAATTGAGCAATTTCCTTTTTCGTTTCGTTTCCTTTTTTCGCTAAAACCTTTTTTACGCAAAATGCAATAAAAGCAAGTATTAAGAATACACCAGTTAAATAGAAAATTGATTTATCAATCGTATAAAATTATGTGGGCATGGCTAAATGTGCTATATAGCTGAGAATATTCGACGGAAGATCAAAAGCGAGGAATATGTAAAATATAACTTTAATTCGTTAGTATATTTACGGTATATTTTTAAAATGAGATGGTATATTTTGGTATATTCCTGAGATCGGTCATACTGATCAAAACACGTGTGGCATGCGGGTTCTTCCGCGATAATTTATATTTATATTTTTTGGTTTTATGCTGTGCGAGGAAAAGTGATTAAAAATGACAACTTCATTGGCCCAGCAACTGCAGAAATTGGCAGCACCGCAGACAACGGTCACCCTCGTTGATGCCCGGAGTCGCGCTTCTATATTGTTCGACCCAAAGGCGGCGGCCACCAAGGACAGGAGGGCCATCTATGAGATTGGACTCAGTGGATTGCAGGAGCTGACAGACTTTAATCCGGCGTTCAAGGAGTTCCAGTTGACGCTATTCGATGAGGCCACGCTCACGCTGGAGCGCTCTGTGGAGCTGCCGGAGGTCAACAAAATGCTGGATGCGGCCATAGCCAAGTTCCTGCGTCTGTTGTCGCCGTACTTATTGCTTAGGCCGGCTCACATGGCGTTCGAGTGGCTGCTGCGTCGCTTCCAGATCCATGAATACAACAGGGGCGAGGTGATGGCCTTGATTCTGCCCTACCACGAGACAAACATATTTGTCCAGATCCTACAGACAATGAGGCTGCGCGAGGCAGACGCCGAATGGTTCTGGCTGCGTCCCCTGCAGCGACCAGGCGTTCCACTGGCCAAGACGGCTCTGATCAACCGAGCAGCCAGCAATCCAGCCTTCCTCAGTTTCGTTTGCCGCACCACTCGCAAGGCCGTCAAGGAATTGGGTCCGCGAGCCCATCAGCTGCAGGCGCAGATTAATTTCTATGCCACCATCGTTGTGGGTGCCCTGCAAACAGCCAAACCACTGGAGGATTGGCATATAAGTACCATATTAGAGGCACTGCTGCAAGGCCTGGTCTCCGACACAATTGATTTCATGGCCGCCTCCTATGTGATTGTGGCCCAACTGGTGTCTCGCACCAAGCTGAAGAGCAAGGTCTGCGATGCCCTGCTGGAGCGTGTGGCCAACTGTCCATTCGAGCGGCTGCAAACCGAATCCCTGCTGCTACTGGTTTGCATCTATGGCAAGCAACAGGCTGCCGGGCCACAGCTTAAGCCGGAAACAGTTCTGAATTTTATTGGACAAAAGTGGCTCATTGCTGCCTTGGCATCGCTGGCGAATGGCAATTTTGCCATCCAGTCTCTATGCATGCCACTGATGACGGGCGCTGTGACAGCTATTCGCGAGGATGATCCCTCCTCGAATTCTTATAAGCAATTCCTCGATAATCTGCTCTCCGATGTGCCCTTTCCCAAGCCCTCTGCCCAGCAGTTGATCAAGTGAGTATTTTGAAGTCCCTCATTCTTGTAGGTAAACATTTGAATGGTTTTTCTTTTTGCAGTTGCTTTTTGGATACTTTCGTGAATACCGAAATAGAAGCGGCGTCACCCCCACCAACTCCCATGGATGAGGATACAATTGTCATAGATTCGGATGATGAAATCGAGCCTGAGAAGACCAGCTTTCAGACCTGGTATGCAGCATACCTGGAAAAACTAGAGAAACGCTATCCGGAGGCCTTCGATCTCAGTGTTAAGGAAGCCCTAAGTGCCAGATCTACAAGCAGCAACCGCAAGAAAGCCCTGAAATTGGCTTTGGGTGAGTGAAAATCGACTCTAAATATATTCCTTATAATATATATCCTCTTTTAGGTTTCCGTTTAAATACCTCGGATGAAAAGGCAAAGCGTGTCTATGAAAAACTCTATCACTACAGCGCCGATTGGCGTCTCAGCGCTGTCAAACAGCTCGTGCAGAATCTGAAAATGGACAAGAAACGAGAACGTAGCGTCAAGCTATTGCAGGAATGTCTGCCCGACCGAATCAACGATGATAGTGGTGCTGTGGTCACAGCCATACTCTTGCTACCCACAGAGGATCTCGTGCAAATGCTGGAGCCTGTGGTCTTTGCCCAGACCCTGTGTCGCCTACTGCGCCGAGCGCAATCACAGCAGCAGCAGAGGGAATGGCGTGCTGTGGTTACACTCAGTGTCCAGCATTTGACCACTGACGCCGTTAGCAATCATTATGACACAAATCTAGTGCTGCTGGCCCTCATGCCACTGCTCTTTCCGTCCGATCCTCTGGCCGATAACGAACACTGTGCCCTGCTGATGATACTGAAGAGCGAGTTCTGCGCCAAAGTCCCCTTCCTGAGACAACTGAAGGTGAGCAAGAAGTTCTCCGAGTTTGCGGTAACCAAACATCGCCAGCACTTTCTGGATGTGATAGCCGGGAGCAGCCATGAGCTGTTTGGCCAGGAGCAGGCCTTGCTGAAGAGCGTTGAAGAGCATGGGGGCGAGGCCCATCTGCTGGAGGCCTCCCAATTGACACACCTGCTGCTCCTGCTCACCGCCTACGCAAAGCGACAGCTGCAGCCCCATGAGAGCCTGCATATGTTGGACAGGATCAGCCTGTACAGCCGGGGCCTTCAAATCAGAGCCATTAAAAGCAATCGAGCCGACCAGAACTTTGTGCCCCTTCAGTTGTACCTGGACTTTCTGCTTACTCTGGCGCGGAATACCAAATGGACGGGTCTTGTGGCCACGCCCTGGACTCAGCCAACGGATGGGCTGCGCCTCTGTCTGCGCTTGATGGAAATCCTTGGCGCCCAAGTGTTCACCGAACGCTGCGAACATGCAGAGCGTCTGGAATGGACACAAGCCCTCAAGCGATGCTTTAGCTTGATGCTGCCCGTACCTCAACACAAACTGGAGTTCCTGTCCAACTTTTGCGTATTTGAGAGGCTACCACAGCTGTGGGCAAACGACTCGGATTATACCGTGTTCCGAGTGCAAGGCTTCCTGCTGCTGGAGGCGTTGATAGCCAACCAGGACTGCAAACTGGACTGCAGCCTGTTGCATGTCCTGCGTGTGGCCAACGCCTGTGGTACACCACTACAGACACTCCGCCTGCAGGCCATGGACACGCTTCAGTTGATGAGCCAACGAGAGCTCGAGCCGCATGTCCAGCAGCTGGTGAAGGCGTTGCTCCAGCGGAGAAGTGAACTGGGCATGGATCACGAGCAGTATGCCCTTATACTCTACACGATACTGCAGCCAGAGCAGGCCACGCCCAAAGAAAAGCTAATGCTATCGAAGCTTCGACGAGCCGTGCTGGCCCTGGCCTCTGATCCAGAGCAACCACCAATTTGCACTGACTTCCTACTTCGAGCCCTCAAACATGTGAACGATGAGCACTTCTTGACCTCCCTCCTGCCGTTGGGTATTGCGGCTCTGCAGGAGATTACACTCGCGCAAGGGCCCAACTGTCAGCTGAAGCAGCTGCCTTGGCCCCATAGTGAGATCTACAAGTCGGTGATGGAGCGCTACGAAGGAAATGTAGCTCTGAGTGTGCTACAGAACCAACCGCTCGCCTGGGATCTGTTTGAGAAAAGTTTTACGCATCATGATGCCTACATTCAGCTGGACCAGAAGCTGCAGCCCATACCGTGTGTCCTGTTGGGCATCCTCACCCCCGAAACGTACGAGCGCCTGCAGTCGAAGCACAAGGTATCGCTGATCAGGCTGATTGTGGAGGCGGCCACCAAGGCGGACAACGATAGCATCTTTTTGGCCAGCCACAGGCTGCTCAAACGCTGCCGCATGGAATGCCAGCCGCTGGTGGAAATGCTAACAGAAATGTGCGGCAAGGGAGTGCGCTCCAAGACACCCACGAAGCGAGGAAGCACGGCCACCAAGCAGGTGGACCTCACCAGCGCATCCTGGAAGCAGGGCATGACGCTGCTTGAGCTGCTGGAGAGCAAGAAACAACTCGTGGGCTCAGAGCTGCTGATACCCACCCTCTTCGAGCTGCTGCAGTCCTGCCTCACGCTGGAGGAGCACACCGCTGCCGAGTATCCCAAGCAGCTGATCCTCTCCAGCCTGCTGCACTGCTGCCAAACGGCCCAATCGGCTGGGGTTCAGCTGGCCAAGGCACTGCCAGAGTCCTGCTTCCGCATCGAGCAGGTGGTTCAGTGTTTGAGAAACACGAAGAACCCCCAGACCCAGCAGCATGCTCTGCTCTTCCTGACCCACTGTGCCGGCCTGTATCCGCAGCAGGTGCTTCACAAGATTGTGGAAATCTTCACGTTCGTCGGCTCCACAGTGGCCAGGCACGACGATGCCTTCAGTCTGCACATCATCCACAACGTGGTGGAGTCCATTATACCCATCTTGCTGCTAAATACCGGAGAAAGGGATCGCCTGGTGATACCCGTGCTTAAGGTATTCGCGGACATCTGCACGGATGTGCCCGTGCATAGGAGGCTGTCCCTCTATGCCACGCTATTCCGTGTCCTCGATCCCAAGGAGCATCTTTGGCAGTTTCTGTGCATTGTCTTCGAGTCTCAAGTGCTGCTGGAATCGATCCCGCACAAGGTGCCGTTGGACAAGTCGCGTCTGGACTTTGTCCGCGAATTGACGCTGATGTTCGAGGAGCCAAGTGTGGCTCTACAGACCTGCATACGCCTGCTGGATTACCTCCAGCAGCTGCCGGTCGACAAAAGCAAGCAGTCGGGTGCCAATGGAGGCAGCAGCTCCTCCCTTTTGTCCACTGAGCAGCAGCTCTTTGATGTCCGCACGCGATCGTTCAAGCAGCTCCGGCACTACAAATACGTCATCATGGACTATCTGTCGGGCATCAGCAGTTCCAGCGATTGGCAGGCGAAGATGAAGAGTGCCAATCCCAGCGATCTACTCGAACACTATCAGGCTCTGATCTTGCAGACCCTGGCCTATGTGGATGTGGTCAATCGGGCCTTGGAAGCATCCTCGGCCAATTCCTCGCTGGAGAAGTACTGGCGGGTGATGTCCAATCACGCGCAGGATGTCCTGGACAATGCCATTGGTATGCTGTCGCCGGAGTACTTCCTGAATGTGATCACCGATCTGCTGAATCATCCGCTCATCCAAGTCCGCATCAAGGTGCTCGAACTGCTCGTCACAAAGCTAACGCCCACCTGCGATTTCTTTGCCCACTCGACGACGGAGCACTTTGGCGTGCTCTTCGCACCCCTGGAGGCCATCATCAATGGCATCCTCGACAGCGGTTCGAGTAATCCCCAACAGGCCCAGCTCCAGCAGACGGCCCTGCAGGCTCTGCAGCTCTTGGCCCATCGCCATGGCAGGGACTTCCTCGATGAATGCCGCTCCCTGCTGGCCACACTTACAAAGATCACTAAGCGACGCTCCAATGTGCCCAAGGCTGTTGTGGGCAATGTGGTGCTCACCCTCGGGGAGATTTGCTCTAGCCTGAAGGCCCACGCCCTCGCCCAGCTGCCCAAGTTTGCGCCACAACTCACAGAATTCCTCAAGGAGCAGGTCCACCAAATGGCCACACTAAAACAGGGACCAGACTATGTCTGCTCCACTCTTGTGACGGGTAACTTTCATCGTTTATTTTCATTATTTATTGATTTTAAACACGTATTCCTTCACAGCTTTCCACAAACTCTTCAAGGCTCTGCCCCTCTTTTTGGGCCCCTACCTCGTGGACATCATCTCTGCTTTGGTCCGTCTCTCTGTGCAGCTGGATAGCCCACTCCTAATAGCGGATAAGCGCGCCCAGGCACTGAGGTTGCGTCTGCAGGAGGTTTGGTCTGTGGTTTCCCAGGGTGTGGAAGTGAGGATCCTCGTGCCCAGCTGCACCAAGACCTACACTAGTTTGCTAGAACTGCAGGCCTACGATGAGGTGGGCCAGCTGATGCGTCAGCTTTTGCTGCAGTGCGTCAAACACAACACCAATGCCCAACTGCAGCCTGTGCAGGAGGCGCTGAGCGAGCTCTTCCTGCAAGCGCTGGAGTTCCGTCTGCAGGTGCGTGGCCGCGGACTGGAGAGGTTGCAGGTATCGGAGATTGAGGGAGGCATCACCGAAGCATTTGTCACATGGATCCTAAAGCTGTCGGAGAGCAGCTTCCGTCCCATGTATTCCAAAGTGCACAAATGGGCGCTGGAGAGCAGTGCCAGGGAGACGCAACTCACGTATTTTCTGCTGACCAACCGAATAGCCGAGGCTCTCAAGTCGCTCTTCGTTTTGTTTGCCAGCGACTTCATATCAGATTCCTCGCAGCTGCTGCGGCAGCATAACACTCTCAATCCGGAATTCACTTCAGGAGTGCCGGCAGATGATGTAGAGCTGCTGATGGCCATTCTAAACACCCTCTATCATGTCTTCTTGCACTGCACCGATGACTTCATCAACGACCATCGCTTCAACACTCTGATGCAGCCACTGGTGGACCAGCTGGAAAACGATCTGATTCTGGGAAGCGAGCCTCTGCAGTTGGCGCTCAGCCAGTGCATTGCCCAGCTGGCCGTGGCCACCAACGATGTCATGTGGAAGCAGCTCAACAGTCAGGTGCTCCTGAAGACCCGTACCACGACGCCCGAGGTGCGGATCCTGGCATTCAACACTTGTGTGTCCATTGCCCGTAAGCTCGGAGAAAGCTTTGCTCCCCTGCTGCCCGAGACAGTACCATTTGTGGCCGAACTCCTAGAGGATGAACATCAGCGAGTGGAGAAGAACACACGCAATGGGGTCCAGGAATTGGAAGCCATTCTGGGCGAGCCAATACAAAAATATTTGTAAATTGCCGAGTGTAAAGGATTTTACCATATAAAGATAAAGATATAAAGTATAGACCCACAGCTTTTACTCGATTGAAAGCTAGTTCATTTAAATAATAGATCTTTTTCTGAATCTTAAAAATTGTATAATATAATGGCGTTGCACTATCACGAGTAAATTAGATAAAAAGCGTGCTTAGCTTGAAGTTGGAAATAGCCAGGACTTGGGGGCACTTGGATATTCCCAACCACTGCCGCAGAATTTTGCGAAGTGGACAGTGAACCGAAAAATGGTTTTTCTTTTGCATTCATAACACTTATTTGCTGTTCCTGATTAAAGTGCCACTTGAAGCCCGAAGAAAGGCATAAAGAACAGCCTCAGGATTACCCACAAAATCCACTGGGCCTCTCCCAGAGGAGACCAGCGATTGCTGTGGGGATGTGAAGCTAGATGCCGGCCCTTTCCTTAAGGGTAACATTACAGCACTTACAGATCCAGCTATAATATATGCATCCTTGAGAATTTGAGAAGCACCAGTTTGAAAATAAGGAAAAATTGGATGGAACGTGTATCTGTATTGCCACGGTACACGTGATCTAATAGAATCGTATCAAATTGGGTCTGGGATTGAGGATTATTATTAATTGATTTACTTATTCATTTATTTCGGAATGCAAAGTCCACTTAAGGCTAATGTATAATAAGAAAACAATCAACACATTGCGCTTGCGATCCAACAACAAGGAGAGGAGATCCCATTCCCCATTTTGACAACTTTTATGTGTTGTACGTATAGGAGATGCTGGGTATGTGTGCATTGTTGAGCGTGTTGTCGTGCGTCTCCTTGTCCTCGGGTATCTCGGGATCTTCGCGCTCCTCCTCCTCATCGATGATGCTGATGTCGCGTATGGAAGGACGATGGCTGCGTCGCCAGCCGCTGAGATCCTGCGGCTGCTTCGTCTTTGTCAGCAGCTTTGTCCCCGTCACCGATATCAGAATGGCACCCAACGGCGCTGTCAGCACAATACTGAAGACGCAGATTGTCTGCACAATGCTGGCGTAATTGCGTTCTTCTTCCGTGGAGTTCTCGTCGAGATGCTTGAGGGCCACCGGCCCCAAAGCCGCTTGGACTGTGGCCTTGGCCATCCAGGAGAGGCCAACGAAGAACTTCTCCTTGAGGTTCAGGCGATCGCCGAAGGCAATGCCAGCCGTGGTAAAGATGCGCAGAATGGCGCCGGTGAAGATGCAGGCGGCTCCAATGGAGACGGTGTGCGAGTCCAGCTCGCGTATCTTGATGGTGGAGCCAGTGATGCCGAACAGAATGGGCTCGAAGATCATCCAGAAGATCTCGAAGGCGGTAGACACCGGATTATCCTCCACATCCCAGCCGTCCTTGCACCAGAATAGATTCGACACAAAGGCAGAAAACACAACGGCCAGGGGGCCGGCTCCCTCGAAGCCCAGCTCCTCGCTGCCATAGATGGCCATCAGGCCGCCGGTGAAGAGGAGCAGTGTTCGCAGCGGCACCACATAAGCATCCCCCTTCTCGGGGAAAATGCGAGCCAGACTTCCCCAAAGGACGCCAAAGCCCAGGCCGCCCAGAATGCAGACCGGAGCCTGGGCAATCTGATACGCCAGTCCCTTGTCCGAGAACATTACGGTGCTGATGATGCCGAAGATAGCCACCGACAGGGCGTCGTCCACACCGGCCACAGCCACCACCAGCGTAGGAATGCCCTTGGCCACACCGTAGCCTTTCGTTCGCAGGCGGAACAGGCAGGGAACCACCACAGCCGGCGAGACAGCGGCGATGATGGAGCCCAAGAGGAACGACCAGATCCAGGGCAGATCGAGCAGGAAGTGCGACATCACGGCCACAATGACGGCCTCCACGCACCAGGGAATAATGCCCAGCTTAAGAATCGTTTTGTAGACTTTCTTGAAGGCTTCCGGCTCCATTTCGAGTCCAGCTCGAGTCAGGATTATGGTCAGCGCAAACTTGCGCAGGTGGGCCGTCACCACCGAGAAGTCACCATCGAGATTGACCCAGCCGACGTTCTGAAAGAGTATGCCCACCAGGAGCATGCCAATCAGACGAGGCAGGGTGGTCAGAGATATCAGGTAGCCGCCAAAGTTGGCTGCCACAGTTAGGACGACCAGGCTAAACAGCTGTCCACCAGGGGCAGCCGAGTCTCCAATGATTACAAAGGCCGTGATCCAAATGAGGACACCTGAGCGACACAAGAGAGTTAAGTTTTTGATAGAGGCAAATAGCTAGAGGCGTTGCATACCTATAAGAATGATGGACACCAGTCGCGAGAAAGTCCTGAAGGTGGGACACAGAGGATAGGGGAAGATCTTCTGCCAGAAGGGAGGCTCCCACGATGACGATGGCTCCTCGCCGCGACACTTCAAACAGAATGTGTACATCCAGGATTCCTCCACAAAGTTGGCCCCACCATTGCTGCCCCCCGCCGAGCTATGGGCCATCTGATGGCCGTTATATTTGGCATTGAGCACGTCCAGCGCATTCTGTCGATAGTTTTCTGCAACAAAATGGCAAACGTCTATTAATACATGAGTTCTAGGTACGCGAGCACTCAGCACTCCTCCGTGGGGCGATGGGGGGATGGATGTATTATTTACCCAAAACCCCCGTCAAATTATCTCGTCAGTCATCATCGAACTCTAATTAGGTGATAACTATGGGGAGAATATCAACAGAGAGCGGGGGTTGGGAGTGCAGTGTGGTGTATGTGTGCACACGTCAAAGGCAAGACCTGCGCAATAAGATTGGAAATTGGTAGAGTCCACTTCCCCGGTTACTGCTAATTGATAATGTTAACCGTGCGCCGGCAAATTGAAATCGAAATAGACATAGATATTGTCGACGACCTGGCAGATATTTGCATTTTTCCAATGAATAGTTCAAGGGAACACTTTGGTAGTAAGAAATCCATCAAAAGGAGAAAGATTTCTTCAACATTTTTGAAATTTTCCGTGAAACTTTCCTACACCGCTCTGCTCAGTGGCGCCGTTTAGTAGCGATGGCGCCAATTAGAGTAATATTTTAATACAAATGCGGAAATTTAAAACGTTTTTCGGAGCTATATATAAAACCCCCTTCGTGTAGCTATCCTAAGAATGCTTATACGTGCAAAAGCTCCCCTGAACGCCACTTTGCACACGTATTTTTTATAGCATTTCACTTTTTTTACGATGTTACAGTGGCGCCAATGAAAAAGTTATTTTTCTGTACTACACAACTGTACATGTAAAAATGTAACAGAGATGTTAAAGTTCTCCCCCATAAATGTTATTCCGTAACGGAAATGCGAATGTTAGGAGGATAATCCTTTCAGGACTCACCATAGCTGTGCGTTGAGACCCGATCGCTCTCATTGTCATGGGTGGTGGTGGCAGTGTCCTTCAGTATGCTCTTCCTTCGCGCCGGTCCAATGTCCGTGTGCGAGTGTGTGGAGGTCTGTAATTCCAATATAAATATAATTCGAGGTTATTTTCAATCACTTTCTGTCGTTATCTTTTCACGATCCCACGACGTCATCCGATAATCAATAAAAGCAGAAATATGAGCAACATTTTACGAGTATTTATGGCTACCGCGTAAATCTAAGCACACACAAAATCCAAATTTACAATCTCACCTATTGATCGTAATCGTAATTCGTTACCTGTGAAATTTTACGCCTAGGATTTTGCTCAAAGGCGGGGTTATCGTATCCGGCGCCGGGGCCTGCGGCACCGCCAATTCCGCCTCCTCCACCTCCACCAGCGATCATTGGCGGATCCGAGATAATGCTCACCCGCCGCTTGGGCTGGCTGTCGATGACAATGCTGCTCTTGAAGTTGTTCCCAGCTCCAGCTCCAGCGCCAGTTCCAGCTCCACTTCCATTCCCGTTGCCATTGCCATTCGGCATGGGCACATCACTGAGCACGGGTATCGGTGAGGGGGCGATGATGGTATTGGGCGTGGTGATTAGGCTGGCTGGAGCACCGGAGGAGTCATCCCTGGCTCCTGGCTCACCGGTGGCCGTCATCGTCTTGTGGATCTGCAAAGCAGATTTATAGATTGATTTATGGTCGTTTTATTCGTTTACGGGGGTCTTTAACTGACAGTAAACATCACACAACGTTCCGATTCGAATCGAAGTTATGAAAATATTAATCAGCAATACGCGACTTTTTACAACTATCTCGTTCAACGTTTAGCAATGAAATAAATTCATTACCACGAGGTGGCGACTGGGACTCGACTCGAGCTGCAGCTACTCTCTCGCACCACACCACAGCAGCTGTAGGAGCCCTCCGATGGTGTACACTGAACGAAAAACAGGGGCTCTAATTGCCTAATCAAGTATGAAATCATTTTAAAGAAGCTCTAATATCATCTGCTATGGCTACTGTTAAAAGCAATGCTAGAAGATTTACTCTTACATATGTTAACAGATCTATTATATGTAAGTTCAGTTAAACACAAATTCCTAATTTCTTTCAAATAAAATAATTATTCAAAGTTGTTAGATCATTTTGGAACTAAAAAAAAACTCTACGATTTTACTTCATTGTAATATAATAAATTTAATCGAATAATACAAAACACAGCTCAAGAAGGAATAATTGTAGCTGTATAAAAGTATTCAAATAATATTATACAATTCGTTTCTTTCTGTGCACTCGGTGAAGAATTTGTGAACATGTGAAAAAACGTTAAAGATTAACGTAACTAATAAATAAATATAGTACAGCTTTGATAAAAATTAACAGCAATTAGCTTCAATTATATCAGACGGCTGGAGATCACATCCCCAGAGGAGACATCTGTGGTTCTGTGGTTACCTCTTCCTAAAAAACCTGATCGGTTCTCGCTTTGATGCCCCTAGAGACACCATTATTTGTTCAAGACTCTATTATGACGCAGATTATCTAAATAAATTCACGTGAGCTCGGTTTTAGTGTTTCCCGTCTTTTATTTTCTGCCGCCGCCGTCTCGAAATAATGAGGCTGAATTGATTATTTCATATACAATTTGTGATTATTTGTTTTTGGCAGCTTTTTCGTTTCTTTTTTATTTTTTTGCGGAGAGAACAAAATGTGACATCCAGTCATGCGGTTCGTTAGCTGAAATCAAACAAAGCCACAGGCAGGCAGCGTTTACATTTATTTTCTCGGCCAGTGATATTCAACATTTTTGGTTATACAATTTGTTAATTTATGGCTCACACAAGCCTTTCAGTGGTAGTAGTAGTACCGCATGGCAGGTGACAAGTCTATCTATAATTGTACTAAATAAATTTGAAATAGATCTGAATTGTGGGGGATAAAAAAGCAGAAACGAAAGCTAGGAGACCCCTTCGATGCCTTTCTTTTGCCCTTCGGTAAATATTTTCTCAGAATTTAACAGCTCTTTTTCCAACTAAAGGACTAGACCTGCTCCACTGTAAATGCCATTGGGAAATATACTGGCATTTTCTCCCTTGCAGTGCAACAATCAAACAAAACCTTTACGAGTATAAGACTTGCAGGAAAACATTATCTTAAAGCTTATTCATTCGTATTTCAACTACTTTGTCATTAAACAATGTGCAACATGTTGACACTTTTCACGCTCTGATTGGAACACTAAATATAGCCAGACTTATGTGCAGAGAGCCCCTCCGCTGAGGGCGGAACAAAAGTATATTTGCAATCACAACTGCATAATTGGCCAGACACGCTCAATGTTGTCAATTTTCACCTCTAATTAACGTCGATTCAACAAAGGTCTGCTATTGATATGAGCAATTTGCCATGAAAAAATTACTTTAGACAATATTTATGCTCGAATGGTCGGTCGGTCGGGTCGGTCAGTCACTCAGCCAGGAGTCAGGTGCCGGCTGGTGGCTGGTGGTGGCTGCCACACGGGTTTCCATGCATGCGCCTCAACTCAAGCTCCAGTTTTTAAACACCCTGAAATATCTGTGGCCTTTTTTGTTTTTGTGGGGGGGTCGGGGCTCTAATTGACGCGTGTCTGGTCTCAGACAGAGACGCGCTGACAAAACTTTTCTACACATCATCATCATTGCCGTATCATCGTCACGTGCTGTCATGCGAGCAAACGGCGAACAAAAGCCGCTTAATTAGCATTCGTGTGTCACCAGTTAATGTTTTAAGCCTTTTAGGCAAATATATCTGCCTATATAATGGTTGATTACATTTACATCGGTATCCAGGTCATGTGAAGGATAACAAAATGCCTTTTACTCTGAGGAGCAGTTTATGACCCCGCATATATCCTGCGTTAAATGAATCATAAATAAATAATTAAAATAATTTTCCTATACTCTTTATTAGATTTTATTCAACTTAATAGTTCTTCTTACAACTCAAGTGAAATATTGCATAATGGAGGGCTACGTTGTTCGAACCCAATGGGATCCAAGATACCAGATACTATATATTCGTTACACTCTTATTTTTCCTTTACACACTTTCTCTATAAAAAAAACTCAACGACTCTAAGAATATGTGTGTATGTGAACGTAACCCATTAACGGCTTTCCAGATTTCCTTTTAGTTAATTGTTATTCCAGAGTTCATTCTTGATTTTTCTGCTTGATTTTGTATAGAAGCGATTTTCACTGTTTTATTTTTGCATTCAGCTTGGCAGCCACTTGACCTTGCTGGAGGTTGGCCCACCGTTTCACGCTGTGCCACCCACAAATACACGAATATACACACACCAAAAGGCATTTTGCATTGCGAACGAATCAACGAACGAAAGCTACTACTACGAATGATTCTACGTGACATGTTTCCCTGATCGAATTGGCCTGGCCATAAGCCATAAGCAAATTTGTCGTACTTAGTTAGCTTTGGGTCAAGTCAACGGTGCGGGGAGTGGATCCGGGACGGGGTCTAGGCCCCTGTCCCGACTTACTTATTACAGCCGTTACCAAAAGCGGCCCAAAAAGGTTTTCTTTGCACGCCTCGAGCCTCATTGCACAATGGCCAACGGCGAAATTCGCTGGCTGAAGCATTTACATTTTACACGGATTTTGAAATTGGTAAGGTGTCTTGGAGAAGGTAATGCCTGATGGTAGGGGTTTATCAGCGTATCAGCTACTGGTCACGTGGATCCATTTTGACCCGGCCCGGCCAATTCCGGGCAGACATTCTCTATTATTTGACTGTGTTTTTGTAATTATTTTGCAGCAGTTGTGCGCTTGATTGTTGTAGTGTTAATCTAATCGATTTCTTAGAGCAAAAAAAAGCATTCCGTTGTCTGGAAAACTGCTCAACAATAGATAATCAATGTAGATAATAAGTTTCGCATTACACAATTAATCCCCAATGTGCTTGAGTGGCGGCAGTGTGCAAAGACACGGACAACTTGGAGCACAATTCACTTTAATCGAAGGAGAATGGAAACGCAGGGCTATATATGAATTAAAACGCGAGTTTGGTTTTTCTATTGGCTGAAAGTATTATCTCTGAGTGTGTGAAATGTGTTGCAGATACTACGAACGTACAGCAATTCAAATATTTTTGGGCAATTCCATTAGACAATATCCGGCAGAAAGGGAAATTTCATTTCTAAGAATGTCAGTTGATTATAGAAAAAAAGGTAGTGTTGATTTAAGCTGTTCCAAGTGGATGTAAGCCTATGGATTTTTGAGAACTTTAAACAAGTCCAAGGCATACAACACATCGTTTGTTCACTTTAATAAAACCTTTAACCATTAAGGAGTGTCCCTATGGCATTTTGCAGCAAAATAGCAGCTTTTTGGGTAATTTTTCCATACAAAAATGCCACCTTATATGCTCTTCAGAATGTATGTACATTGCACACGCCAATAAATATCCATTTAAATTCGAATCATTTCTAAAGTCAGAGACTGAAATTCTTAGCACGAAATTGGCTTTTCATATAACTCTGTTTATTGGCCTATTAATTGTTGTACCGAGGTTTAAAACTCCCGGAATGACGTCAAAGGAATCTCCAGTTGCAGACACTTCAATTGATCAATTATCCGGAATGAAGCGGTTCAAGACACATATTCAGTTCAGTTCCACGACACTCCATCGTTAAGTAAAGTTCTTTAAATAGAGAATTCGTTAACACACAATCGTTTAGACTAGACGATGGATTTCAGTGCAGCCGGTCGGGGCCATGGCTTTCACAAACTTTATCTCAAGTCGTATATTTGCATTAATTTATAACAAATATAAAAGGCTTTTCCATGATCGATCGCAGCATATTGAAAATCTTTATAATATGTTCTTGGCTTATCTCACAAGCAGCCGACGATAAGAAAGGGCGCTATACCGAAAGTGATTTACCCAGAAATCGACCAAATAAAAATCCACTAAGTACTCAAAAGAGTTGACCATAAAAATCGAAGGTGCCACGAATCGTCGATCGGTTAGTGGTCTATGATTAGGTGGGGGAATGGGGGTTTCAGGTATGGCGATTGGTGGCCTCTTATCGGTTTGCCGGATGAGTTAATTGGCTTGTATTGCCCTAATACTACGACTACCGTATGACAAAGTGTGAATTGTGATTGATTTCGAATGCTAAATGAGCACCCGGCACTGGCACTGGCACTGGTACTGGGGATCGTAGAGCCCGCTCTGAATTGGTTTCTCGATTGCGATCGGATCGCGAAATATGTGTGTGATTACTCCACTTACGAGTGTTTCATTAACAGGCCGCCCCAATCCACTTGAATATCAATCAGCCATGAATACAAACACACCGCACACCGTCTACGAACATATTGATCAGTGATCATCATCGGTTTCCCTTAGTTTGTTTTGGCTACAGTTCGGGTTTCGTTTTTATCTCTCTGTTCCGAGGATTGTTTATTAAAACATTATCAATATGATATGTGTAATCCAACCCTGATCCACTCGACCGACCATCCCATACCGTCCCGCATCGTCTGTTTTTTGGCTTTGTCATTAGTCGCGTTGACAACTGCTAATTGTGGTAAGTGTTTATTGGCCCAATTTTCGAGGTATGCGATAAGATTCTTTTTCGTCTGTTTCTTTTTTAATTATCCATGTATTTCCTATCGTTAGGTTTTACATTCAATGACTCTTCTTCCTCTGGTTATCTTAACCGCAGAAATGATGATGAACTTGGATGAGAGAGAACGCTTCGTCTAGACAGAGTGTTGCGCGATGTGATGTCGTAGTTTATGAGTAGTATATCATTATTTTTTCGGGTTAACTTATGTATGTATGTCCACTGAGATCCAAGGAGAAGATGTGTAGTATTCTTAGAGCCAATGATAATGTTTGTTGATTTAAAATTATGAAACTCTTTAATGAAAAGGACAATATTCATGTAGAAAAAATTTATATTTTTATTGGAGATGGGTTTTGAAATAATGGTTGTTTATCGGGATCTACGTCTTTATTTCCTTTTCTAGGCAATAAATTGCGAGTCAGTAGTATTCTTTCGTCGTTTCTTTCTATCATTCTTAGGAAATCTTCTTCAATATTTCCACTCATAGTACTCTTATCTAGTTGAAAAGAATGTCTTATTATTCTTTGTTAGATGGCTTCATACTTTCCTCTCTTGAATTCTTTTAAAATTAATGTTCCACATTTTCACATCTGATATTTCAGTACTCGTTCATGTCTAACGTTAATTTATTCAACCCGTTTTGTTTAATTAAATTTAAAATTATGGTTAAATTAGGTAGCACTGCAAATGATTTTTCCTCGTGCAATAAAATATACTTATGCATTCATTAAGAAATCATTCACTTGCCATTCATTTTGGGTGGAATATGCATATTGAAATCCCACAACAACAAAAAAATACAAACCAAATACGAAACGAGTAACGTATGTGAATAAAGTCAAGTATTTGAACCATACATTAATAACAAAGCTCAAAGCTCGAAAGCGAGCGTTTTAATCATAAGCGTATAAAATTTGCATTTGCATTTCGCATTCGGTGTTTCTGTTTTGTTTTGCGTTTTATAATTGTGCCAAAAAACACGTACGTACAGAAATGTGAAATATCTAAAGTATTTATTTTATTATAGCCAATGACTTTTTGCGTTGAACTTGGCGGAAAAATGGTTTAGCAGCGTGGGCAAAGGGGTAAAACCTACTCTGGTATTCACACAGCAGGCAGGAAATTAGACAACTTTTCCGTTGATGTGTCAAATCTCGTGTCACTTTTCTCACTGTTCTTCTATCTCTATGCTCCCTCTTATTTCTCGGAATTGCCCAAAGTTTGCAAATCAATTAAGAGTCGAATGTGCTGGTGGTGCTCGTCGTGGAGGCAATGGGTACTTTAACTTTCATATTCACGTTAACGGGAATGCGATCCGTATAGAGTGGGGCAAAACGACGGCGAAGGCGAAGGCGAAGACTAAGACGATCGCGCGACCCGCTTAAACACGACTAAGTCGCTGCAAATTCTTGCATGCGTTTTATAGGCACACACACACATGCAGGCAATGGGTGTAAGTGTCTGCGTGTGTGAGAAAACACTCGTACAATCTCGCACAAGAATTGAATCGCATTCATTGATTGAATCAAAGTTGTACGCTTACTCCCGATTACTCGCTTGCTCTCTCTCTCTCTCTTTTAAGTACTCCACTCGGGTGGTGATCACGAAGAGCCGCACGAAGTTGGAACTCATGTAAGTGTCTGCTGTGCTGTATCTTCTTCTATATACTCGTCTTTCTTCTTCCACCTGAGCATAGTTATGGGGCGGGAGTGCAAGGGCACTCCCTTGTGCATATTTTCATTCATCATATTCTCTTTGGAGCTTGTGTAAAAACTTAAATTAAAGCATGAAAACTAAATATAAAATTCATACGAAAAAATTAAATTGTAAAAGATATATGATGTATAAAAAAAAATTTTAAATATAAGATTTCAGATATCTGTTGGTGGCCAAAAAAAATATTACATTTAAAAACAAAATAAAAATGTAAGAAAACGAAACTTACTTTTCAGTTCTTGGTTGGTTCTTATTTTAAAATCTACATTAAAAATGGTAGAGTTAACTATAAGTTATTAAAGTACTAATAATAAATATAAATAAATTAGTTCGGTAGCCAAGTCCACATTTATGGTCGATGCGCCACTGCAGTTCTATATCTATATCTAGCGTCTCTGTCGTACTATAAACAACATCCATATACAAGTAACTTAGTCATCATAAAATATATTTCTTAGACGATTCCCAAGCCACTCGAGAAGTGCCCCTGGCTATAAATTCAATCCATCACGTTGGCCCGCTGCTTTAAGAATTTACAATTTCGAATGCAATGTCATGACTGTACTCTGTGGCCGATTCTGGCATTATATGAAAATAGTTAACACATTATTTATACAGTACAATATATGACACGGAAAAGTATGCAATAAAAATGATTGATAGCCTTAGATTAATAATGGCATTCATTTGTGTTTTTTTAATTAGTGCGACTTGAAGCATTCAATCAATCGAAAATCGAAAGCAGTTGATGGTTTTATGGCCGCACGCTAATCAATTTCGATTTGATATGGTTTCTGTCTCAAGTTGATTATTATTTGATCAGGCATAAAGAGATCTAGGAAGTCCCACATGGAAACGAAACTTTTTGATATTTTTAAATCCAGTTGGTTTGGCTTCTATATTTACTATATTTAAGTCGAACTGGTTTTAGTCTGTTACTAAATTACTCCCATAAATATTTATCGAGGTAAATCATTTGGAATAACCAAATAAAACTTTGTAATTGCTTGCTTATTGATTTAACATTTCCATAAAGTTTTCTGTTTAATTTATTACTCTGAAATGCAAACGGAAAACAAATTTTGTTGACTGAATGGAAATATTTTCCAGTTCTCTTTCTTATATGACAATGTTGTTGGTGTTTTTTGTTTATTTGTTCATTTTATCAATCATGATACATCCAAAAAATGATAAAAGTCTCTGGCATTGGGGAGGAATATCATTCCATATCTATGGCCATAAAAAGTTTATGTGTCAAAACTCTTCAAAGATTTCCACTGCAATCGTGATTATCGCCTTTATAAGTTCTACTTGATATGAAGTAATTACGAAAAAAAGCCAGATATGTATAATATTTGATAATGGAATTTAAAAAAGCAATTTGCATTTTCGTAAATTGTATAAGGATATCTAATCTAGAATGTCATTACAGCGCTTTTCTTCTTTAATATTGCCATTTAATATTTATTGTCAATGTGTTTATCTAATTTTCGGTAATATATTTACCTATTTTCATGACTGGTATCTGCATATTACATATTTCTCCTCACATTCCCAACACGGAAACATTTCGGTTTACATTTATCAATTGAATTCAAACAATCCGCACAATTTGTAGGAAATGTGGAAACTTTTTGAATGGAACTTCTCTAATTATTTGAGTGGCAAATGAAAACCGTGAAATGCGACAACCTGCTGTGCTGGGCAGAGCTGAGGACTGAGGACTGAGGTAGAGAGACTGAAACTGTAAAAGGGAATTTGCCATTGGGTGTGGGTCTGGGTCTGGGTCGGGGTCACCATAAATTAACTTTGGCAAAATTACAAACATTTTCCGCATTAAAACCCAAATCACGGGGCCACCACATACACATACACACAGATACATGTACAAATACATATACATATATTTGTTTGAATGTACGTACATACGATAGAGGATTGGATGGATGGGAATGGAGCAATTTCAATTAAAGCTAATTACAACCAATATCGACTGCCAACAATGTCAAGCATCAAAAGCTACGGGAGAAGCCACCCAAAAAGGGGGCAAGCGGTTCTGTTCGTTCGTTCGCTCGTTCGTCTGTTGGTTGGATAGTGGCTTCCTTCGGATGGTCTCGTGGGTTGGTTTGGATGTATTATTGGTTGGAGGAAACTGTGATAATGTCCTGTCTGGGTCGTACACTGAGAGAAACGAAACTGCGGTTCTGTTCCAGGGCGTCACTCAATGTCGCCAAAAGGCGAAAGGCGTCCTGTCCTTCGGCTGCGGGAGGTGTGAAGACTGGTGCATAAGTAAATGTTGCTGTCACCAGGTCTCTGCTGTCTGCTGAGGGATGTGTGGGTGTTTGTTGTAGGTGCTGGGTGCTGGGTGGTGGGTGGTGGGAGTGTGCTTCTTGAGGCAATGCCTGAATTTGAGTCAGAGTCCGTTGCAGATGTCGTGGTTCTTGCTGCCGCTGCTCCTCCTCATGTTGTTGCCATGGAATAATTAAAGCAAATTTGCACTTCAGACAGTCACCCGAGGAAAAACAACGCAAACAGCTCAGCCCGCAACGCTGGCGACCCACAACAAGAGAGCCATGCACATCCATGCCATTCTGCCATGCTGCCACATGCCACGCCATACCACAGCCATGCCACATCCATCCGACCAGACCAGGTACCGTCGAGGATGCCGATGCTGCTCCTCCAATGGTGACAAAAACGCCTGGAGCTCGAGCAGGAGCCGCTCCTCCTTTTTGCTCGACTGCCAGAGCCAACGTCAACAAAAAGGGGTGCTGGATGGATAGATGGCTGGCAGGGAGGAGGCGGAACTCTCAACAACAACGGGGCACTACAGAGCACGCCAGTCAGTCGGGAAAAGTATGCGAAAAAATCTACAGATATATGTATATGTTTCTGTGTAAATATATATGTATACGTGTGGGAGAGTATAATATGGAACAGAGCCAACAACACGAGAAACAATGCCAGTGAGTGGCATAGAGAGGCGAAACAGGAGCGGTTTGCTAGTAGAAGAGGTCGTTGTAGTTGTAGAAGAGTAAATAATTAAAAACGAAATTCAATTATATTAGTTTTAATTAATTCACAAATTACGTATATGGAATAGCTTTGAGAGGGATTTCCGATACGGTTTGAGATGTGATACGTCATACAGAGTATTAAGACAGAAGCGGTCCAACATTATAATATTAATTCTAAGGGAAATGGGAGCCCTTGTATACAAAATACTTCGATATTGTTTTCCAAGCAAAAGAAGAGGTTGCTGCAGCTGTAGAACAGTTCCTTAAATCGAAAATCATATTTATTGATTGTACTTTTTGACTTGTAATATTTGTTTGGTTCCCAATCAATTCAAAGAGTATATTGAATAGCATAAAATATCTCACCTTAACAAACGAATAAGAAATGGCAGAGAGATACAGGAGCGGTCCAGGAGTAGAAGAGTTTATGGTAGGAGTAAAGAAAATACAATTTTTTTGGAAGCATCAGAGACGTTAGAAAATATTTAGCAAAAATTAAATATTGAATAAATATAGTTTAATATTTAACTTTCTTTTGCACAACCAATTCATTCAGCAATTCAGTGGCATTTCTTGAGCCCCTTAACCATATGCACCCAACCACATTGCGAGAATCCCCTCCTGTTGGCTGAAACGAGAGCGAGGCGGAAAAAAAGAAAGGAAAACCCCGAACAACAGCGTCGATGAGTGACTCGTGTGGATGCTGCTGCACCCCATACTCTGCTGCTGCCACTCTCCTGAGCGCAACAAGGACCAAAGCCAAAAAAAAAAAGAAATTCCACTACAACAAAAATAAAAATATATAACGAATGCCAGCAACAACACCAACAACTACAACAATATTAATAACGAATGGCAACAATAAACTGAGCTTGCGCCAAATACGAAAATTTGTTGGTAGTAGATGTGGAAGGGAAAACCGAACGAATCTCTCACACGAGGCGAAGGACGACAATGCCAGTGATACACACACACACCCTCGCACACTCGCACACGCACTCACACAGAGGCACAGAGCACGAAGCTGTGCTCTCGCCGAAAGCTCCTCAAAGTCAAAGTTGTGTTGTTGTGTGAGAGATGTTCACCCGAAAAGAAGAAAAGAACTTGAAATTGAACTGTGTGTGAAGAAGAAGCATCAGGCAGGCAGCATCCAGACAAATTGGAGAGCGCGCCGTCAGTCGAGAAGGTAGTAGTATCATCATGCATCTTCTCTTCTCTCCTCTCTCTCGCTGTCTCTCTCTCTCTCGCTTTCTCTGATTGTCGCTCGCTCCCGTTGTTGTTGTTGCTGTTGTTGTGGGAGCAGAAAATATTTTAACGCAATTAGAGTCGGGAGCATCGTCGTGGCATCGGCAGCAGCAGGCAGCCAGAAGCAGCATCAAAACGGGCCCCAGAGCCCCCCAGAGCCAGAGCGTACGCGCACGCAGACGGACACGGAGCACGGAGCACGGATAGAACGCAAAAGAACAAATACAAAGAATAGAATTGAAAGTAAATGAAAGCGTAGAAAGAACCGAAAGAAACAGTTGCAAGGCACGCAAAAAATCTTGTACGTTCTCAGCAAAAAACAAATTGTGGAGAAGTGAAAAAAGTGTGACCAGCAACAGCAAAAAGATTAG